TACGCCTCGCGTCCGCGTCGTCGTTCCGGACGAATTACTCGCCGGGAAAGTGAATCGCCTCTACGACGGACAGACTCGCGAAAGCAGTCGGACGTTTCGGGGCGACAAATGACGCCGTGTAAACATGGATAAATTGCTGTTGCAAATTGTGACATCGTCGTCATTGGGTTTTACATACATTGGAAATTTATATGCATTTTATTGATCGCGGTATTTGACGCTGGGATTTATTTATCTGCAATTAAAAGATTTGTATAGCTGATCTTTAATCCCGAGGCTAATCACCTTTGCTTTAGGGCTGCTTTCCCTTTTAATTTATCATCAATGCGTCAAATTCTCTCCATCAAGTCCTTTTTGTATTTGATATTTTTCACCAAATTGCTGTATCTATCGCGGTCTATGATCTTCTCCGTTAAAAACCACAGAAAATGACATTCTACCCTCCGTGCGAACGGTTCGCTGACCCTCGCTCTGGCCTGCCTCTCCCTTTTTTCGTACACTGGCCATATTATATTTATGTGGATGTGTGCGTACCGCAGAAGGGAGAAAGTGGGAATAGGAGAAGCGAGAAAGGTCGTTTAAATCCTTCTTCGTTCTCCCGCGAGTCGCAACCCCGACCGTGTTTTTGCCTCCCTCGCGGTGCCGAACTGCTGCCGCGTGATATCAAGGCAAACACGAACGTTCAGAAGGACAGAACGAGACTTTAAAATAATTCACACTGTCTTTTTTCTCGATTGAAACGTTTTTCATCTGAGTATTTTGCTTTTAATTTTTGAGCTTTTTGAGTATTCGACTCGATCAAAGTCGTTCTTTCTACGTAGAAAAAGTTAACATTAATCATTGTAGAAACATTTGGGATAAATGAAGTAATTAAAGAATTACAAGGTAAGCAGGATAATAGAATGAAACTATAATGAATGAAAAATAAAACAGTGGTAAAGCCAACTAAAAAAAGGGCTTAAGCTACCAAGTATTCTCTGGAGTGCTCGTATATAAAAGCTTACCGCACTGAACTTATTGCTTTACAAATATTTTTTGTTTGATGGGAATTCTATGTAATATCTTTCATGATTATGTGGCGCTAGCGAGTAGCTCGAGCTTTGTCGAATTTCTTCTATAGGAATAAGAAGCTTAACTTGGACGCCAACGTATCCAGGTTTTTATCCGAGAGCGCCTACCCTCGAAGAGAGCGAGAAGAGAGAGAGAGAGAGAGGAGGAGAGAGAGAGAGAGAGAGGGGGGAGGGCTACTCTGGCAGGTCATTCATGCCGCAACAAAGCGCATTGTGTTGCAATGGATCTTTAGCGGTGCTCGTAGACGTCGTCGGCCGCTTTGTCTCTAAATCGTATTCAAACGATACTCACGCATTTTGATTGTAGCGATCAATAGGTGATAAACATATGTCGATTTACATACGTTACATATGTAACGCATGCACGATTACGGGAAAAAGTTCCCTCGTATCCCTCCGATTAAATTTCGCTACAGTTAATGAGATTTTTCCGATTAACAATCCAATTAAAGTATTCGGGTATTAATTACGTCGAGCTTTTGAACATTTTTGTCTTTTAGCGAATCGAGGGACGAACGAAACACAACTGTGTACAAAGAGAGCGTGGAACGGGAGAGCGAGAGGGTGGGGCCGGGGAAGGGGAGGGGGAGAGCGAGAGAATAAACTTTCATAACGGCGGCCGCGCGCAATTTTTCGCGCGCCGGAGTATCTCGTTCGGGATACGTTCACATGTCGCACGCAACGAATGTGCGTTCGATGGGGCGCGATGTGTCGGTTAAGTGGATCAAAGCTCGATCGGATATCCGCTCTCGATCGCGGCTGCCGCGACGCCCGCGCCGGGAGAATCGCTTTCATACATTCGCATCGCGAGTTTGCACAGACTCATAAATACCGCACGACCGCGCCGCGCGGGTGACGGCCGTGTTTTCGCCGTGCAGGCACCGTGACGTCGATATTTGCCCGTAGTATTCGCGATACAGAGAATGCAGGCGGTCGGGAGAGGATCGTCGTTTCACCAGCGCGCGCGCGCGCGCGCGCGCGAACGCTCCTACGTGAGCGGAGAACCGAAGTTACCTCGCTGCAATTGTACGAGGTTATCCGTTTCCTCGGCTTCTTCTGATTTCATATCCCTTTGTTCAAGATATTCATGGATGGATTTACATGCACGGAAATTGTAAAAATTTCTGGGTACAAATGCGGTAATAGAAATGCCGCGAGGAACTTTCGAGACGGGCCGACATTCGTTTTCCGAGTCCGCCGAGCGATGTCTTCTCGACGAGAGTTTGTTCTCGCTTTTGTACAGCACTCGATCCCCAGCTCTTATTAATTTTCATCGATTATCCAAATTTAAAAAAAAAAAAAAAAATTAGTCTGCAGGAGAAACCCCAGAATCCCCAGTGAAGCATTTATTCCACGTGTTCGAATTTAGTGGTCTCGTCGGCAAGCAGAGCGGAAAGGGTTTATCGATTTCCCGCGCGCACGGCTGCGAGCATTTTCATCGCCGGCAGGTATCATCTTTCGCAATATGGCGTTTGCGTTACGGCGCGCGCTATAATTATGAGGGTTTTACGACGCTCTCCCCGATGCGGGACGCCGCCCCGCGTGCGCGCTTTACGAGTCGTACGTGTTGCTTAGTATACGCACGGAGTACGCTGCTCGGATGGCACACGTGGAGCACCACTCGACGACGGCGGGGATTGGCGGGGGTCGGCGGGGGGAGGGGGGTGGTCGACTGGCTAGCTGGAGGCGGAGACGGGGTTGAGCGAGGTCAGGGCGGATGAAAAGTCCCTGACCTGGTCACCTACGCTACATCTTTTTCTCTTCTGTCTCCCTCCTTTTCTTTTACCTTTACTGTAAACTTCGTGGGAGGAGCGGGCACCTCGGGGTTTAATTAACGAGACACGTCAACATCTGTCGTGACTTTGAGGCAAAGGTCCTACCTACGTGGGACGATTCATTTCAAAAAATTGGATGCTTTAAAAGATTCATGTGTATTAATTTATAATTGTTCACTTTTTGAAAATATTATACGCTTATACGCGTATTTAAGTATGAAATCGACGCTTCTCGAAACGACGGTTCTCTCGGCAATCCCATTGTTCCTGTCGTCTTCGGTGTGCCATTATTCTCGCTCAAGTAGGCGCAAGAATCACAGCAGGTCGGCGTCTAACTTCTTTCCGAAAATCTTGCTCGAGCGCATCTCGTCGAGGGATGTTCGCGCGCGCGCCCTCATTACAAGGGCGATCGGCGCGAAAAAGTCTTCCGGCGTTAACAAGCGGACGTGATTTATAGCGGCGCTCATTAATCACGTTAAGTTTCTCCCTCTCGCGCGCTACCCTGCGCCGTTCGCCGACCTTCTTATTAAATCGCGATTCGATCTCATTGTCCTTAACGGACAAAGGCGAAACGCGCGGTTGCTCGCCGAGCTCGCGCCGAGCTCGGGCGAGAACAGCGGTTGTATTATTGCACTCAACAAACGTGATTCATATTAACGCGCGCTACACGCTAAATTACCAGTCGAACACTGTGTGTCGTAAACTCGGCAGCCGCCTGCTCCTCGGCGCATTAATTTTTGCTAATTGCCTGTGCAATCAGTGCGACTGAAGAGCATATATACATATATGTATATGTACACACACACACACACACACACACACACACACACACACACACACACACACACACACACACACACATATATATATATATAT